TGGTGCCACTGGTGTTTTTCTCAGTGAAAGATGCTGGTCCGAGATTTCAGGCCTTCCAGATATTGGCACCCGTATTGGTGGAGGCGGATACTACGACAACGAGGATGGCGAAAGAAGCAATCCTCTCACGCCTGTTGGAGAGATTGGTGGGCCGGCAAGGGGCGGTGGGTTATATGCTGGCGGCCATGATTCACGGGTGAGATTAATACCCAACCAGCCTGGTGGTTTGGGTAGCCATATTTACGGAGACTCAAAGGGGGGTTATTACTCCAAAGGAAATTCTGACGAAGCCCGTTCCGATGCCGGCGCGAGCGCATTTAATCACGGCGACATGTTCAGAAATTTTGACACCAAAGCACAGTTACAAGAGAAGGGGGCCCATGCTAAGGAACAGGAAATTGAAGAAATTCAGGTCTCAGGATCGAGAAAGCGATGGATGTTCCTTGTATGGTCCCTCACATTTTGGCTACCGACCTTCATGATCAGACACGTTGGTAGGATCAAAAGACCGGATGTTCAGGTTGCCTGGCGAGAAAAGCTTGCAATCAACATGCTCATTTGGTTGTCTTGTCTTTTTGCCATTTTCTTCACGAGTGGGTGGTTCTTCGAAAATTTAACTGTGTCATTTTTTGCTAACTTTTTTTTATAGTTGTCTTCCCAATGTTGATTTGCCCCAAACAATACGTATACACAATGGATGAACTGGGAAGCCATAGTGGAGGAAAGAACCATGCAGATGGTAATGCCTACATTGCAATCCGTGGTTATGTATTTGATTTGAATTCATTTGCACCCCACCATTATCCTACTGTCGTCCCCCAAAAGGACATCCTTGCATACGCCGGAAAAGACGCCTCCGCTCTTTTTCCCATTCAAGTCTCGTCGTTGTGCAAGGGAACTGGAAATGGCGTGGACCCACGTGTTATGCTGGATTTCAAAAACGAGAACGGAACGGAGAACCGACAAGTCGATAAGAATGCACGTTACCACGACTTTCGTGCCTGGACCAGTGACCCCCGCCCCGACTGGTTTTTCGAGCAGATGACCATGCTGAAGGGTGGTTACCTCAAAGGTGATTTGGGTTACAGTCCGAAATACGTCTCTCAACTGGCAGACAAGAAGCGGAGATTGATTTTCATTCTCCACAACAATGTTTATGATCTCACGGACTACAATGTTGGTGGACGAAATTGGGAAGAAATCGACGGAATGGAAGGCGTTCCAGATTCCAATTTCATGGATGAATCCCTCATGGTTATGATTCAAACTCGCGCTGGTCAAGATGTCACAAAGTACTGGGATGCATTAGGTTGGTCTGCAGATCTTCGTGAGCGGATGCAGACGTGCTTGACAAATCTCTTTTACATTGGAAGGGTCGATACCCGTAACTCCGTCAAATGTAACTTCGCCAGATACCTTATCCTCGCCATCTCAATTCTGCTAGCCTCGGTACTACTCTTCAAGTTCTTTGCTGCCCTGCAATTTTCGCGAAAAAATAGCCCAGAGAATCTCGACAAATTCGTCATCTGTCAAGTTCCAGCATACACAGAAGACGAAGAGTCTTTGCGCCGTGCAATCGATTCATTGGCTCGCATGAAGTACGACGATAAGCGCAAACTCTTGGTTGTAGTCTGTGATGGTATGATTATTGGACAGGGCAATGACCGAGCTACCCCAAGGATTGTTCTAGATATTCTTGGTGTACCAGAATCAGTAGATCCTGAACCGCTCAGCTTTGAGTCTTTGGGTGAAGGGCAGAAGAGGCACAACATGGGCAAGGTATATTCTGGTTTGTACGAGGTCATGGGCCACATTGTTCCATTTTTGGTTTTGGTAAAGATTGGAAAGCCATCTGAAGTTTCCAGGTATGTTTTCTCTTCATTTACTTTTTCCCTTCTTTCGTAATTTACACTAACTGGAAATAGGCCTGGTAATCGTGGAAAGCGAGATACTCAAATGGTTATCATGAGATTCTTGAACAGAGTGCATTACAATTTGCCTATGAGCCCTCTTGAGTTGGAGATGCATCATCAAATTCGCAATATCATCGGAGTCAACCCGACCTTTTATGAGTTCCTGTTCCAAATTGATGCTGGTAAGTGGCTATCATCTTTGGCATCATACTACTCTGAGATATACTAATGCGAGTGTCTAGACACTGTGGTTGCACCTGATGCCGCAACAAGAATGGTTGCTTCTTTCCTGCAAGATATCCGTATTGTTGCACTTTGTGGAGAGACTGCCATTGCCAACGCGAAACATTCTTTCATTACTATGATCCAAGTTTACGAGTAAGAATTCCACTCGAGCATTGCATGGCCCTCATGAATGTTGCTAACATATCAATTAGATACTACATTTCCCACAATCTGGCCAAGGCTTTCGAAAGTTTATTTGGTTCCGTCACCTGTCTTCCCGGATGTTTCACCATGTATCGTATCCGTGCAGCTGAAACCGGAAAACCTCTATTCGTTTGCAAGGAGATTATCGAAGACTATTCAGAAATCCGCGTTGATACCCTCCACATGAAGAACTTGTTGCATCTCGGAGAAGATCGTTACCTGACAACACTCTTGCTCAAGCATCACCCGAAATACAAGACCAAATATCTTTTTGGTGCGCATGCATGGACAATTGCACCGGACTCTTGGGCGATTTTCCTTTCTCAGCGTCGACGATGGATCAACTCAACAGTACACAATCTTATGGAACTCATGCCTATGCAACAGCTTTGTGGATTCTGCTGCTTCAGTATGAGATTCATTGTTTTCATGGATCTTCTGTCAACCTTGGTTCAACCCGTAACATGTATTTACCTGGTGTATCTGATCGTCCTTGTTGCTCGCGGTGGAGATGTCATTCCTACAACTGCCTTCATTCTTCTCGCTGCCGTTTATGGTTTACAAGCAATTATTTTCATTGCTCACAGGAAATGGGAGATGATTGCATGGATGATCATTTACATTATCGCCATTCCTGTCTTCAGTTTCGCCCTACCACTCTACTCTTTCTGGCACATGGACGATTTCACATGGGGAAACACTCGTGTTGTCGAAGGAGAAAATGGTCGCAAGGTTGTCATATCTGATGAAGGGAAATTTGATCCAGCGGACATTCCACGCAAGAAATGGGAGGATTATCAAGCGGAACTCTGGGAAGCCCAGACCATGCGCGGTGCAGACGACACTCAATCAGAGGCATCTGGATACTCGTATGCCACAAAGTCATATGCGCAGTCCGAATGGGGTGGCCAAGGCCCAATGAGGCAATCATCCTATGGCCTTGAGTTACCAACAGTTCCAACCCGCGGCCCTAGTCGTATGAGCATGGCACCTAGCGAAATGTTAAGCCAGAGAGGTAGTACCTTTATGGGCAATCACCCCATGATGAGCGAGGTTGAGATGAGGACGCTGGATCTGCCAAGTGACGATGCAATTTTGGCCGAGATTCGTGAGATCTTGAGGACGGTGGATTTGATGACGGTCACGAAGAAGAGTATCAAGGCAGATTTGGAGCGGAAATTTGGCGTGAGTTTGGACGCAAAGAGGGCTTATGTCAACTCTGGTAAGTTTATTTTCCTGTGTAATAAATTTTCTTGCCGTTTAACATTTAACTAACATTTTACTGTGATATGTAGCTACGGAGGCTCTACTTTCCGGACAATTATGAGCGCACTTGTAATGAAACATTTTGCTCGGGAAAACACCTTGGGCAATTTGAAGAAAGTATGGATTGCCTTTAGGTAGATGTGGATGACCGACGTTTTTCTTTTCTTTTTTTCTCTTTTTTTTTTCTGTTATCAAAACAAAAGACATATATGAAACGATCATCAGTATGAAAAACAAAAAGAAGAGAGGTGGTGATGGGGAGGAGGTTGAAGGAGGAAGGTAAACTGTTGTGTTTAGGCTGTGTGGGGGGCATAATTACTTAGAAGATGACGAAAATTACTTGTTTCCTGTTTTTCCAGTTTGTTATTTCTTTTTCTTTTTCTTCATATCTCTTTTCTCCTCTACCTTTTTTTTTTTTTATTCGTTAATTGCAGTACAACACCTTAGGTACCTCTTCCTAATGCTTAAACTCGAGCTCCGACATTCACGCAACTGGCACTGGGCAGGATTTCTTTTTTCTTATTACTTACCTACTTCATATATTACTTCATGCTTGAGCTTTCTCGGTGGGAACGACTTTTTTTCTTACTGCTCGTGCTTTCTTTTTCTCTTTTTTTCGATATCATAACTCTATATACTTTATTTATTCGATTTGTTTTTTAGTTTTTTTTTAACTTACTTATCGTCGATATATATATATCATAACTGTGCTTCATTTTAATACTGCCCTGTGAGAGCAAAACGTGAACGGAGCGGTACATAGCTATAGAGCTATAGGTACCTAGGTAGGTAGATGTCCTACGTAGGGAGGTGTTTTTGTTCTCGTGTACATGTAGAGAGGTACAGTGTTCGAATTAGAATTCGGTTCATGGAATTTTATGGATGTGTAGATGTATACGTACGTGTTTGCAATTGCAGGGCATCAATGCCTGCGAATATATATAGTCTAGATCTGTTTGGCCATGGGTTTCGAATATATAAACACCATACATACTTGGTATATACCTACTTGAAGCGTTTACCACCAAGGGATTCCTGTTCTCGTCTATAAGAACTTTATGTTGTAAGTAAGTACTTCTTCTGGATATCTTCTTTAAGTCTCCGTTTAATTTAGGTACATACTTCAAATCTTCATCACGAAGTGTCTTTCTTCGAGGGGCTGGGCACGAGACTACGATAATTAGGTAGCCTTGTCAAGGTCCAGAGTGTCCACCCAACACAAAATCGACGGTATCACCAATAAACGGTCATCTGTATCGGACAACTCACTATTCACTACTAAACAACGCCACTGAGTCACACAAACAGAGCAAACAGCAAATACCAGTGGGTCACACACGAGTAAACAGAAAAACCTACCTAAATCCCAATTAGAAAGAAGACAAAAAGAAATGGTCACGGTGAGACTCGAACTCACAACCCTCGCGTTACTCTGCAACCTGGATGATTGTAGTTATATGCTAGTATATCTATTAGCACGATGCTCTGCCAATTGAGCCACGCGACCGTATTGGGATGTAGTGGGGGGCTGGAGTAGGGGCCGTGGATCTTTGGGAGGTATTTTATGGTTCTTCGCTGGAACGGGCTGGAGTTAGTTAGACAGCCGAATCGAGAAGTCCGCCCGATTCCGAAAAGGGCAGTCTACATAGTCTTGGGAGTAGACGAACGCATTAATATTGGAACGCCTCAATGACGAGGAGGTGACGTTTGTGTAGTCTCGTTCCCAGCCTCTCATAACGTTTGTGGATGTCAAAGATGTCTTGATCTCAACACAGCTAACAACTAAGCAGCTTTAGAACATTAGAATTCCACAAAATTCAAATGCTACTTACACGAGCACAGAAACATCTACATCCAGCGCCCTTTGGCGTTCCATCAACGACGTCACAGGCCGTTTGCGCCAGTCAGTAGGCACTTGCACACCAGACTTACAATTAGTACTACAAGATGGCTTTTTCGTTTCAAGAAAGGACCTACTCGCTTCCTAATTCAAAAGTAACGTTTTTCCTTGGTAATTGCGGATCTTCTTCGTACTTAAATTCAAGTTAGGTAGCTTTTGAAGCACATGGGTATTCCGTCTGCTAAGTTATTTCGTAATTTCTACGTTTACTGTTACCCTCCCCAGCACAGCCGCCATATCAGCACAGATCTCGTACACTTCTTCAAAGCTACTTCAACTTCGAATTCGAGAATCTTGACTTCGACTTTTACTCCCACCTCGCTCTCAATCCCAAAAACAACAACAAGGAGGAAATTCAGCTGTATGTCTGCAGGCACAGTCTCACCGCAACTGGCGTCCACGCCCACCCCTCCAACCTCGAAATACACGGATCCAGAACTCCGAGACACGCTCAAGACGCAGATCCAGGACGGCCCCGTCGGCGGCCGCGAAGGCCAATGGTCCGCCAGAAAAGCGCAGCTTCTTGCAAAGGAGTATAAAGCCCAGGGGGGGGGATACACCACCTCCGCGGACCACAAGGACCCGAAAGCGCGGGATCTGGAAAAGTGGGGGGACGAGGAGTGGGTGAATAAAGAGGGCGGGGGGAATGCGATGAAGAAGGACGGAAAGATGCATCGTTATTTACCAAAGAAGGTGTGGGAGGAGTTGAGTGATGCGGAGGCGAAGGAGACGGATGAGAAGAAGGTGAATGGGGATGGGCAGTTTGTGGGGAATACGACGAAGGCGGCGGAGAAGACGAGGGAGGTGAGGAAGGAGAGTGAGAGGAAGCAGCAGCAGAAGGAGGAGGAAGAGGAGTTGACGACTGACGAGGAGGATGAAACGAGCTCGCCACCACCAAGTAGAAATCAGCAACGGAAAGAGTCTAGAGAGAAGGCTGCGGTGGATAAGAAGGCCGCTCAGGAGTCTGATAGGATAGAAAAACAGGAAGCTCAGAAACAGAGGGCGGAAAAGGAGAAGGCAGCAGATGAAAAGGCCGAGCAAAAGAAACAGGCCGACAAAGGAAAGGTCGAGAAGAAGCAGACCCGACAGGAACAGGCCAAGGAAGCGAGAGCCGAGAAGAAGCAAGCTGAAACGGAACAGGAGAAGAAAAAGGTCGAGATAGAGGAATCTGAGAAGGGAAAGGCTGCGCGGGCCGAGGAGAAGGCAGAGAAGCAAAAAGTTAATAGGGAAAAATTCGAGCAAAAGAAGGCCGAGGAAGAAGCCCAGAAAAAGGCTGAGGAAAAGCAAGCCAAAAAAGAAGAAAGTGAGTTGAAGGAATTGAAAAAGGCAGAGGAAAAGGAAGCGGCAAAAGAAGCGGTAGAAGAAGAAAAGAAACAGAAAGAGGCGTCAGCGCAAGCTCAGGAGGATGAAGAGATTGAGATGGAGGAAGATGAGGAGGACGACATGTCATACAGCGAAACGGAACGACAGCTCAACGCAGAACAAGGGAAAAATGATCTTGATGGAGAGATGGAATTGGATGAAGACTTGGATGAAGACATTGAAAGTGAAGAAAGTGAGGTTGTAGAGCCCAAGAAAGGGAGGAAGCGCGAGCACTCGAGGAAGGCAAAAGCTGCCCACAAAAAGGCAGGTCAAGCTGAGCCTACGGAAGGATCGCCAACAAGCATCAAATCGACAGGTCATAAGATGACGTCCGAGGCAGCAAAGACAGGCGATAAGAGGGTCGGCTCCACAAAAATAAAAGGATCACCAAAGAAGGAGACAGATGCTGGGGAAAAGTTACTGCAGAAAGAGCAACAAACGATGTCTGAACATGGAAAGACGGAGGCGCGCGGTGACGGAAAGCCGGTGTTTAAGCCTGCGAAGAAGGCGAAGAGGGGGATGTAAATCCGCAATTAATTACTCCCAACGTGAGTTGGGTCTCTATGATCGTGAGACTATGGTTTTTGGGCAACGCCGCGGTTTATTGCAGTCAATGCAGTTTCATATGCAGTTAACCACATAGTGTATATGTATTTTTGCAGGTAGAACGGTACAAATGAAGTAGTATGGAACGTATCTGTAGCTATAACTGTAGCTTCGCCCCGATGTATTTAATGAGGCAGTCAATGAACTGAATTCAGCCTTGGCATACGAATTTGTGAATTAATGTCCGTGCCTTTTTTGACACTGCTCATCCATGGCCAGGCTGTGATCATCCTCCTCCCACGTTTTCTCCAACCCTCATGCTGAAACGTTCAAGCTTGGTGGTGGCGCAGCCCAAACTACCGGTATCCTTCCAAGTTTCGCAAGATACTTTAAATTGACAACACCAATGGGGCCTTTACGGTTGTGAGAACAAGCTGCGACCGTCAACTATACAGCTTTGTATTACCCACGACGTATACCCTAGCCAATACAATATATTAGCAGAGCAACCCTGCCAAAATTTGTCAATGTACGTCACCAGAAGGGAAAATCGCAATGTTTATTTCTGAATTCAAGTATGGATGTCTAGTTTCTTGATTTTGGATCAGTATATCAATGAGGTCCAAAGATTCTGACGGGGATCGGCTGTCACTTGGACTTCCAATTATATAACAGCTCAAGCCGCACAAGATATGGTGCTTCAAACCTAAAGCAATCACCCGATTCCACGCCCACCCATTGTTGAGTTTTTGGCGATACGACAATATCTGCACAGATAACTTCGAACTGCCCCCTCACTTCTAGTTCATTGCAATTGGACTTTGTCAGTTCTAGCATCGACCAATAGCCTACCTAGTTGAACAATATGGAGTCAAAACGCGGCCTGATCTACATCCCTTCAGCGAAAAACCCGAAGGATGATGATATTTGGTTGTCGGCTCTGAACAGAAATGTGTCCTGGTATTATAATTACCAAATGTCTGGGGCTCAAAAGTTTTCACAGTCGCCATTGGAATTTGTTCCAATGCTCTGGGGGGCCAAAGATAACACACAGGAAGTTTTTGTTCAAAATATCAAGGATCAGAAAAAGGATACCAACATCAGGTGGGTTGATGGTATCTCGCATGGCGGCGGAGGTGATTAGGCATTTGCTAACTATTTGATAGATATGTCCTTGCCTTCAACGAACCAGACATGACACAAAAGGTGGGCGGGAGTGACATGACTCCTAAAAAGGCGGCACAGGTGTGGAAGGATAGCATCGAGCCTCTGAAGACAGACGGAGTCTTGTTAGGGGCACCAGCAATCGCAGGTACAGAGGAGGGGAAAAAATGGCTAGAAACGTAAGTGTGCTGAATTTTATTCTGCTATTGGCTCCAAAGCAAAGTTTTTCCTTTGTGAATGTGTCCAGGCGCCACATGGTGAGATGGGTTCGCCAAACCGATATGAAATGAGCCCACTGCATCCTCGATTCCCGACTTGCGCTTGGGCAGTGGCGCGGCTGTCACTTTGCAGTACGACTTCGATCGGTGACAGCTACGATACATTCTCCGAACTTTACAGTCACTATCTCCATCATTTTCGCTAAATTCAACGAGATTGGACCATTCATGCAGTGGAAGGCAGTTCTGATCGACAAGAGGTTGATCACAGTTCTCTTTGCGAATTGGAACGTTTGCCAGCCATGGCACTGTCACTTCAACTTAGTTGGTGGACTGCAAGCCTCGATTTTGGGAAGCAGAAAGCATTGCATATGGTCCAATAGTACGAATTTGAGGTTCGGAAGATGGACACACACCTGCTAAGTATACATGTAGTGTACATATGCATGGGAGAGCATTTGCTTGAAGTGGTTTACGATAATGCATAGAACGACAAGCTAACCATCTGACGATCTTGATAGGTTTTTCCGGGAATGCACTGGATGTACTATCGATTTCATCCCGCTTCATTGGTATGTACTGCAGCCACCCCTACTACACACGAATTCTCTACTCGAGTATCCCGTCATCGGGGCTACCCGCCATTAGCCACGAGGCTAACCCGTCATCATGTCCCCGCATCTGCATATTCTCTGCACAATAATCCCTACTTGCTGTGCATCCCCCATCTTTCGATCATGTACCTTGCTGCAAATGGAAGACATATACATGTATCCGGAGGGCATTTCTCCATCATCACGCACATGAGATTGGTGCAGTCACGATACTCACTAACAATGCGGATTAATGTGATCAGGTATGGCGATTTCCCGTCACTCGCCTCCCATCTCGGCCACATGCACGAAGTCTACCCCAACCACACGCTTTGGGTCACTGAGCTTGGATACCCCCACAAGTCCTTGGCCGATACTCAAACATTTTACAAGATGGCGACGAATTATCTCGATGCGCTGGACTATGTCGAGAGATATGCTTGGTTCGGTTCCTTTAGAAGTGATGTGAGCAATGTTGGCGCAAACATGGCAATGTTGGATTCCAAAGGCAGATTGACGGACATTGGAAGTTGGTATTTGGGTGGCGATAATACCGGAGTGAAGCCATCGATGGCGGGGCCCGCAAGAGGAGAGGGCATGGGATTGCTCTTGCTTTTCGCGCTTTTCCTGCAGCTCTTTATGGGGCTGAAGGGGATGCTATGAGTGGCCATGGAATTGGTGGAATTGGTGGAATTTGCGGTTATATCCCATTGGACTGAGGCGG